TAGTCAAGAATAGTATAGAGTTGTTGGTGATTCCTTACTTTGACCAGGTAATTACACCAAGAAAGTCCTCTGTTCTAAGCAAAGTATCTAGATATTTGGTTCTTATAATCTAATTGTTATGAAAGCTGACAAGGGTGGAGTAGTGGTAATCTTGGATAGGTTAGGTTATCTGGAGAAAGTGCTTTTGTATTTAAATAGCATTGGTATGTATAAACCTTTAATTAAAGATCCTACTGAGTAATTTACAACTGGGCTAAGAGATGCTTTGAAGGTATGCGTAAGTAGTGGGGAAATGGGGAAGTGGAAAATGAATTCCCTTCTTCAAAGAGAATTGTTTTACCTTTTCAACTGTTACCTAGCCTGTTCCTCATTCAATTCGCCATCCTATCCTCTAGACTTTGTATTCTCCCTCACTAGCCAACTGCTGTGACTGCTTCTTCTTGGCGCCTTCGTCGTTGGGAAAATCCACCAGGGTCAACCATCGTACCCTCGAGCGCTGTCTCTACATCTGGCGGTGCTCCGTTAGGGCGATTTGTCACTCGGTCTATGAATAACACAGGTAAACTCAAGTCCCCTTTTTTTCCCCTTGGAATAAAAGTTTTAGCTGGTGTTGGTCAACCATTTATCCTTGTTATCCTATATTAAGCCAAAAGAAAAGGATTCTAAAAGATATATATATTTATATTTTAGAATCCTTATCTTGGCCTATTCAACACATGATCAACTACTAGATAGAAACGGATAATGTTTTTAGGGCTGAAATGGAAGTGCATACTTTGTGAAAGTCCTCTGTCCAGGCAGCATACATATGATTTCTATTCATCAGCCTTATCACCTAGTCTTTTTTGTAGATAATTCATTCTTACCGAATCAAATATGGGTTATTAATAGTTAAAGAGGAGCAATTAAATACTTACAAATATTTTATTTTTTGCTTTCATATATTGTTAAAGGGGCCCAGTTACCGGCAATTGTTTGCTAGGTTTAATAAAATTGGTACTTGAAACAGAAAGAAGCCTGCTGTCCCTCGAAGTAGTTAAAAGTGTATTTTACTGCTTTATTTTTCACCATGTCTATTATATTTATTGCATATTAATTTCGCATCTTTCTTTTTTTTATTTGTTCATCATATTACCTTTCTTATCTGTTGCCACTCTCTTCCACTTTTCGGATGTCTCTATTTTGACTCGCATTACTCCTTCTCAGACCCGCATTCTTAACAAACTTGCCTTCTCCAATTTCATCTCTCATATAGTGGCAGATACTTCAGCTGGCGGCAACGGTCCTTCCAACCCAGGGATTGGCCAACTCTCAGCTCCTCGGCCCCACCGATCGACTCGTGATCGTGTTCCGACTGGTCGCGTTAACCCCGCCGATTTGGCTGAGGCAGCAAGTTATCTCCAGCAGGCTAATCCGGCCCAGACTGCCACTGGAACTATCCCCACCACAACTACTGAAGGGCCTTCACTCAGTAACAACCCCACCTCAAACAACGTGACCAGCACAACGGCTACAACTCCCACGGCTGCTGTAATTCAGCGAGTAAGATTGGCTCATCTTATTCTGCAATGTCGTCCTTTTCATTTATTCTTTTCTATTAGGACATTCCCTATGAACAGACTCATTCTAAAACCTTTTCATATGTTGGTAAACGTTATCATTAAACATCGTTGTGTCTAACAATACTTCGTAGTCCTAACTGATAACAATATGGATGCACTAATCTATTGTTCTCAGTTTGAGCCTACTACTTCGTATGATCTTCATAGTACTCATTTTCGCCTTTATCTTATGTGCTTTGGTTAGTATTTAATCTAGTAATGTGAATAACTTGCAGTCATTGATTGAGAGATCTAAAAATAATCTGGCGCTTGGTCTTGCGATTAGTCAAGAACCAAGAGATCTCAGAGGAGGCGGTTTACAGATTAGTTCATGAAGTAACTCATGTGATAGGTCAATTAAGGCCTTGCTTGCTAAGAATTTGATCATCAATGCCCTCTGATAGAGTCTAAGAATTTAAACACACATCGCCTAAAGCATTAAATGAGTAATTAATTTTGTGTCAAACGGGTCTTTCTTAAAGCAACAGTTGTAGCATGATATTCTTTAGGTTCAGAGAAGTTACCTGAAACTAAATACACTGGCAGGATTTAGGGATATCTTCCTTCTTTCAACTTTACACTAAACTCCTGGCTACGCATTTTATTGAGTTTCTATTAATTCCTACGTATATCTATAGCCTCTATTTTCTGATCTTCACTCGACTTAGTGAATCATACCCACAGAGTGGTGGTTGAGTTAGATAATTTTTGTTTATTTTATTCATGTTAATTTATGTTTTATGGTCCCTCTTTTTTGCTCAAACTATTGATCATCTACTTTATTATTCAAAGAATGTATCATTTATTCCCTTAGTCCTTAACTATTTGTCACTATAATCGTTTAGATACAAATGGCATATGTGAACCCATTTTATGTTTTGATTACGACTGAAATTCGACTTGCCACAATTGCTTCTTCCTTTCTTGTGTAAGCTCTATCCTTTTATTGGGATGTGTCGTATGCAAACCTCATCAACTCTCAAAAGGGCATATTGGGATAAAAGTAGAGCATTCTTCATATGTTTACATTATAATGCATAGCCTATTTGGTTCAGTTGATCTTTATTGCGCTCCATAAATTCACTGCATTCACACAAGTGAATGACGTTACACCTCAACATATTTATGGTTAAGTAATCGAAAAATACGTATATACAACGAATTAGAGACGGCTGATAACCTTTTAATTGTCATGCTCTCTAACCAATCATTTTTGGCCGCTGTAGCATCGATTCCACCAACTATTATGGTTTGTTTATAAAGTTATCGAAATTTGTTTCAATCTCATCTTGCATATTTTGCCTGTGAAACTTAGCAGAGCCCGACCATCGAAGACTTTTATCTGATCGTTGTGGGCTCTTAAAACTGGTGGCTGAACTGGTACATATAATTTAATAACAAGTTTCCCCTAACGTCTAAATCAGGCCTTTATCACCAAAGCAACCCGCACTGATCAGAATTCTGATCAATTAGACCTATCCACACATTAGTTTAACTTTTTTTCGAATCTTTTATCTTGATTAATACATGCATTTTCTCGTTATTATCCTTTCGCAAATAATTGAATTCACTGTTATTCTATCTACCTCATTTCTCTCCTATCTTTTCTTTATTTGATCTCACTTCCACTAGCCAACCAGTCGGTTTCTCTTGGCTTCCTCAATATCTGCTGGATCAACTGGGTTATTGAATAACGGCAATGCTTCTGTCTCGACGCCTATTATGTCTACTTCATTTAGTAGTAGCTGTAACAGTAGCCATCAGCCGTCTCGATATACTGACCCGGGAGCGAGTTCGATGGCCTCCGCAAACGTTTCCTTGGCTGGGCGCTACTCTTCTCGAGAGGTATATTTCTGGATTCTCCCAACTTATCTCTATCTCTCTAGGCCTAGACAGTGGATTTATAGTAATCTAGATGCCACTGATAATATATGCTCTGTTTCGAGCTAGTAAGTAGAGTGTAAGTTACTGCAATACTCTCTCTCCCTCAGAGACTAGCCCGTATGGTAGACTCAAAAAAGGGACAGTATCATCATGAGATTTGCCTCAGGTTCCAGATACTAAATAGACCCTTTTCTTAGTCCCATACGATGTATAGACTGGCTTTTTTCTGTATTTACAATGGGTTTTTGTCGACGTGATCTTTGAAATTTGGATATATTCTCAATCGTCAATTCTTGCTGGCTTGATTCGGCCTGTACTTACCACTTCATGATGGCCATTTATTTAGCTAAGTAAAATGTTTGTTCTCTCCGGAAATGATACGAAAGGAGCTGTTGTATGGCGTTTAATTGGTGGCAATACTCGGCCGTCTGGCATAGATATTTGCAAGTCATAAGGACTTAAATAGAGTCGACTTGAAAGGTATGCCGCATAGTTTCTTCATCGTATTGGTTAGATTTCTAACGTAACAAGCAGATTGTGCGTTAAAGTGGGTAGAGGCAATGAAATCATTGGGTAATCGTAGTTGGAAGCCATAGACCATTTATGTTGTATTAAGTTGGTTTCCACTTTGATCGTGATCTGTAAGCTCTACAGGACCAAAGACCATTTGTCAGTCCACTTTCCTGAATTCCTCTGGCATCTAGACAAGGCTTTTAGCTGGCATTGGAAACGTTCTGCCAAACTGCTTGCATGCGGGTGGTAGATGCATGCATGAATCCTTTTCTTTCCTAATAGTTTAGGTGGCTGAGTGAAAGGGGCCTTTCTCTGTCGGTTTTCATGGTTGTCAAGATGCTAAACCTGGAAACCCAGTGAATGGTAAAGGTTTTAGAATTTGTATTTGCCTGTATGTCCGGAATTGGACTGGCTTCTGGCTGTTGTGTTAAACGGTTTATAATGGCGAAGTTCTAGCGGCTTTCCTTGGAGAATGGAGGAAGATTCACAATGCCCATGTTTGAACCTCTCTAAAAATGACTCAAAACTGCCGATAGGATTCTTGGTGTGTCTGTATACCTCGTTCTTTTGACACACTGGACAGATTTTTGTCCACTTACCGATGTCTGCCTGCATCCCAAGCCAGACAAAACTTTCTTAAATGAGATTTTGTGAGGTTCGTATGTCGTAATGTGTATTGCTTGAAACACCTTTTTCCTCATGGAAAGTGATGTTAAAGGTTAATGTCTACCTGTAGATACGTCGCATTAAATTTTGGGTCCCTCGGAGATGTCCATTTGTGCCATATTCAGTCTTAGCCACTTTTTATCCGATCCCTGACTGTCTTCACTCTGAGCCTCTGTCTTGGCTTTGTAGTCAATATCTACTATTATGGAAAGTTTGTTGAGTTCAATACGGAATAGGGCCTCTACGACCACATTGTTTGCAACTTTTATGTAGCATACACCAATGGTGGACTGTGAAATATAATCAAGATGGCGGATCTCGCTGGTGAGTACTTGTCTGAGTCAGTTCGTGAGGATATGAAATTACCTAACTGCGCGTGTGTGCTTATACTGTTTTATTGAGGTGTGTAGAACTAAAAGTTAGCGGCCAAAACTGCCATACTGAGTCTAGAGTGAAGTAATTTTACGTGAAAAAAAGAAAAGTGCTTGCGCACTCCATCAACAACTTGTTATAGGGCTAACGTTTAGTCAGAGACATCTTTTACTAGATGTAGTGCTCCATAGGGATTTTTATCTGTCTTCGCATAAAATAATCTTCCTGTTTTTTGTCTTTAAAATTTACTGTATTGGACTCAGGATGTCAGGACAATTGGGAATGAACCGACGGTTCAAATTCACTATGCCGAGGAAAGTATGCGAGGAATTAAAAGTATGTAGAAAAAGAAAATTTCTGATGCATCTTACTTTTTCCTAACATGGAAGTATTCCGTTCTTGTCAATATGGTGACCGAGGAGATTTAATCTGGAGGCGCCAAAAATGCACTTCTCATGAACTATTACAAAATTATGGTAGGTTACTCTTTCAAAAATGGTCGTCAGATGTCGTCAATGTGCATTATCACTGCTGGCGATAAGAATGTCGTCTATGTAAACGAATACGCCATCTAAGCCTCCGGTGACCTTATCCATCAAATGTTGAAAAATTTGTAGCGCTGCTGGGACCAAACGGCAGTATGGCGAATTCGAAAACGCCAAAAGGTGTAGTAACGGCAGTCTTGCATATATATGCGGGATGTACTAGTATCTGGTAATAAGCAGATTCTAGGTCTATCTTCAAGAAAATGGTTTTACCTTTTAAGACTAAGGCAAAGTCAGTGACTCGCGGGAGAAGATACCGGTCTGGTGTCATAAAAGTCATACCACTTCTCAGAAGTCTCTTCATGGTCTCCATCCGCCCTTTTTTTCCTTCAGGTTCATATGAATTAGAGACTGCTTGAGGGGCGAATGTTACCGGCGTCCATAAAGGCCTTAGAAATGAACTTTACTGCCTTATGAGATTATTCACCCTATTTCGTTGAGGTGATGAAGGACTGCTTTAAGTTTGCTTGACGCGAGTTATCGTGGCTATTAGAAAGCTGGACATATAGTG